GCTGCTGGAAGGAAGCAACAGCATGGCCAGGGCAAGCTGCACCCCAGCTGTGCAGGACAGGAAGAGGCACTCTGCAGACCCATAGGTCCATCTGGGCTTAACCTCTGTGGCCACGGTGGACACTCAGGCGCCGTCCCTGGCTGGGTGATGGTACTGCAATGTGTGTGAAAGTGTGCCAGCCCACGGTACCCCACCCGTCCACTCTGTCAGTGCACCTGTGTGGCTTGCCTCAGGTATTTTGGGGGATGCATTGCCGGAGCACGGCTCCCAGGGTAGGAAGTGTCTGTTAACCCCCTGGGAGGTGTGGACCTCTAATTGGCCCTCGCAAGGCGTGGCCAGCACCCGCTCTCCTCTTCATGGTGGGTGGTGGCTTGCTTCCACGGCTGAGGCCTGCAGGCAGCAGTCTGCAGAAGGGTCCAAGGAGAGCAGGCCCCAGGACGTGGGGGCTCAGGGTGCCTAGGGCTCCCTGCCTACATACACAGGTCTCAGTCCAGCCTGACCCCAAGCCGCTGGCACACCCACGGGCTGGCACTGGGGTTTCGGGTTGCCCCCAGAGCTGCAGGGGAGGGAGGAGGCAGGGCAGGAGGCCTGGGGTGGAGCTGCAGTGTGCGGCCTTGTGCTCCTGCTGTCCCCGGGGGCAGCTCTGAGTGTCCCCGTGGGCAGCTCTGAGTGTCCCCATGGAGCGGGTCTACCACAGGAACCCAAGGCCCCCTGGACGGGCCCTGTCCAGGGCAGTGGAGCCGAGAGCCTGCGTGTGGCTCTGCCAGGCTGAGGGATAGTCACCCCTGGAGACAGCCCCCCGGGGTGGCTGTTGCTGGACAAGGCCCTGTGCTTGTCTTGGGAGAGCCTGACCAGGCAGCACGCAGCAGACACTGGGCCTTGTGCCACCTGTCGTGTGCAGGAAGGGGGGACCAGACGGCAGCTGTCACCCACTTGCGGTGCCTGGTTGCCTGGTAGGTGGCATTGCCATCCCCATGGCGACCGTGCAAGCCTTGAGGCCTCTCCTATGGACAGCTGGCAGGTGGGGCCGGGGTGGGGGAAGGGACTCTGCAGAGGCCCCCAAACCAGCATTGCACAGCACACAGGGGGTGCCGAGCAGCTGACTGCCCGCGGCTGGGGCGCGCTCCCCAAGGAGGCCTCCGGTGGACTCTGAGGCCACTTCCTGTGGTGGGATCCTGCCTTTCTTGCAGTTTTACAGCTCCTGGGGCCTGTGGCCTTCATGGTGTCCCCATGGGGCAGGGCTAAATCCTGGGGGCTTCCTGGGTCTCTCCGCCTTAAGCACAGCACCCACCAGACAGGTGACCAGGGCAGGAGGGGAGAGCGGCTGCCACCCAACTGGACTTGAACAGCCATGGCTGGGTGCTGGCCCATGCCCAGGGCCCCTGTGTAACAGGAGAGGGGTGGGGGATCCTGTGAGGGCTGCCCTTGTTGTCTCCTGAACCCTGAAGGAAAGGCAGGGACTGCAAGGCCGGGGTGGGCCGGCCCCAGGGAGTCTCAGGGTGCTGGGTGTCACCTCCCAGACTCTTGTGTGCTTTGGGTGGTGGGGCCGCTGCTCACTAGGGCACACCCAGCACCCTTCTGGCCTTCTGTGCTGTTGCCAGCTCCTGGCGGGTCCCGGGGTGCTCCTAGCTCTGCCCTGTGTCCCCAGACGCTGAGTCCCTGTGGGGGGTCGGGAAACCGAGGTGTGAGAGGGCAAAGCAGCTCCCGTGGGTCGCTGTCCTTGGGTGTTCACGCCCTTAGCTGTCCAGGTCCTCCAGGCCTGCCCTCAGAGGGCACCTCCCCATCCCCGGCTCTGGGCTGCGGCAGTGTGTGGGGCCGCCCAGGGATGCCCTAGAGCTGGCTCCGTGCCCTGTGCCCAGCTCCAGGATCAGGGCAGATGGGGAGCCCTGGGTTAGCTATGATGGCTGTGGCTCAGAGGGTGCCAGACAGGGGAGAGGCCATGGCAGGGTCACTCCCCAGTGGGACCTCTGCAGGCCCCTTTCATGCGTGGCCTGGACCTGAGCAGGCCATGCAGGCGTCAGGCTGGGGGTGGGGCTCAAGAGTTCCAGCTGTGCCCAGCACATGTCACCCGGGGGCCCGGCCGCACTCGGCGCAGCTGGCCGACGCAGTACGGGAACAAAGGGTGCTTTGAACCGCCTGCATGCCTGCGTCTCGCCTCCGGCCAGCTGACCCTCCTGGGGCTGCCGGCCTGGCACTCTCGGGGGCTTCTCGGGGCCACGTGGAGTCGGAGCAGTTGGCCATGAAGCCTGCTCTGGTGGTGGGGACCACTGTTCTCCAAGGAGAAGCCCCCCAGTTTCCCGGTCTGGGGAGCAGGGCAAGACCTGACCCCTGGACTCCTCAACCCCCATCCCCCTAAGTGTGCTGTCCTCATGGGTGGAGGAGGGACCTTGGGGTGGCAGTGGAGGGGGCTCCTTGGCCTGCATCCGGACTCGGGGTGCGTGGGCCAATGGAGCGTTCTCTCCTGACCGCAGTCCCCTAACCCTGGGGCTTCTCTTCAAGCGCCTTTACGACTGATTTTTCACAGGAGGCAGGGAGACGTGCATGGTCTGAGGTTCACAGATGGCAACCCCGCATGCCCCTGCAGGGGCAAGGGCCAGGTGTGGCCCACTTGAGTTGGCATGGCTTCCAGGTCCACTTGCTATGGGCTTCTCTATGCGTGCTCCTGAATGGTGCTCAGGATACACTGAGGCCCGGTTTTACCAGCTGAGAAGGGTGCCACGGCAGTCCAGCTGGCAGGCGTGACCAGCCTCCAGTGAGCGCTGACTGTGGTGCAGCCCTGGGGTGCCCTCAGCCGAGCGCCACTGCACGTGGCCTCTGCCTCGGGCGCAGCTTTGGGTGGACGGCCCTAGCTGTGATCCGGGGCCCCATGTGCTCCCTATGAGTCACTAGGGGCCCTGCCCACGCCCACCCCACTGACCTCCCACAGGTGGGCAGAGAGGGGCCTGGCTGTCGGGTACAGAACACCTCCGGGATGGCCATGCTGCGTCTGCATGGACGTGAACCTGCTTTTCAGGGCCCTCGCCCCCCTGACTCCCCTGTCAGCCAAGCCAGATCTGCCGGAGCTGTGCCCCTCACCACAGCCTAGGCCCTGTTGAGGGTGCAGCTCGGCTGCAGGATGCCCTGGTGGCCAGGACACGGGCGGAAAAGTGGCCATGGTCTCAGTGGTGTTACAGCAGGCTGTCCGGTAGGGTTGGTCACACAGCCACGCCCTCTGTGTGGTTCCAGAACTTCTCATCTCCCTGAGAGGAAGCCCACCTCACCCACTGCCTCTCCCGTGACCAGTACTCCCACCGTGCACTCTGCTTTCTCACAAAGTTGCGATAAAACCCAGCACCCTGGTCATTGTTGTTCTCAGTGGTCACTGCGTGAGCCCTGGTCACTGCTGGCACCCCGGTCACCCCTGGTACCCCGGTCACCCCTGGCACCCCGGTCACCCCTGGAGCCCTGGTCACCCCTGGCACCCCGGTCACCCCTGGTACCCTGGTCACCCCTGGTACCCCGGTCACCCCTGGCAGCCTGGTCACCCCTGGCACCCCGGTCACCACTGTTCTCAGTGGTCACTGCATGAGCCCTGGTCACCCCTGGCACCCCGGTCACCCCCGGAGCCCTGATCGTCCCTGGTACCCTGGTCACTCCCAGCACCCTGATCACCCCTGACAACCTGGTCACCCCCGACGCCCTGGTCACCACTGCAGCATTGGTCACCACTAGGTGCCATGTTTTTGGGCAGAGTCTGTCCCTCCCAGAGCCTTCTCACCTGACCTTGTTGCCCCCCGAACACCCAGCCCTGGAACCCACTCTACCACCTGTCAGGACCTCCCCTCCAGCAGTGCAGGCACAGGATCGGACCCGTCATGACTGGCATGTCCTCTAGGCCCACCCTTTTCTTGCCAGGTGGGCACACTGCTCTGCTTCCCCTCGGGGGTACTCCCCAGCCAGCACCCTCCCTTGGGTGCCAGCCCAGGAGATGGCACTGTGTCCACCACCTGCTTCTCTGCTGGGGTCTCTGTGGACACATTGACCCCTGGAGCCAGTCCCAGGCGGGTTGAAGCAAGCGTGTGCTGACGGGCTGGGGCTGGCCCTTCCCCTGACTGCCTACCTGCTGCTGTGTAGGTGCACAAGGGAGGCGCCACGGGGCGTCCACACGTGCAGGTTTCAAGTGGCAGACACTGAGAGCATTGGCCACGTGGGAGACCATAGCCAGGTCCCCACTGTGGGACCACATCTACCCAAGCAGGGGCGAGCAGGGCATGGGGGGCCCAGAGCTTCCGGCCTTGTGTGCGGGTCCCACGTGCTCATGGCCACCACCCGGTGCCGAGCTGGCATCCTTGCCATCTCCCTGCTCTTTCTTGGAAGGAGGGCAGGGCCCAGGCTCTGCAGGGAAGCAAGCCCTCCCTCCAGGGTCCTCATGCTTTCTCTGAGTGGCCCCTTAGTACTCTGACATGACTGCGTGCCCAGCCAGGCTGTCGTCATTCAGGGTTTCTGTGCCCCATGGTCAGGGGCTTCACCCAGAGCCCCCACTGTCTGCAGATCACCCCACAACCCAATCCCATGACAGCTGCCAGCCCTTCCTATGGGGGCTGACAGCAGGGGTGCCCTCCCTCCCTGCGGTGGGAGGTGGCCAGCCTCTCCCGTGTCTGCGGGTGTACTTTTGACCCCTATCTTGTGCCGGCGGCATGGGGACCTGTGGAGAGTGGTCAGGCTGAGTGCCATGTAGGGTCAGCCTCTAACTCTGACCTACACCAGGCAATTGGGCAGCATCCCTGGTGTGCAGGGTTCTGCAGGGACTGAGGGTCCCTGGCTACACGTGCCGAGTGGGTGTGTCCGTCACAGCCTGATGCCCAAGCCCTGCTTCTGGCTGGGATGTACTGCCCAGAGCTGCCCCACCCCGGGGTGGACGAGGGGCCCTGGCAGGAAGGGAAGCCACCCTGTGGGGTGTTTGCTGGTGGTGGATGTGGCCCATGGGCCCCTTCAGCCACCGGTGTGGCCCCGTCCCACAGGAGATCATCCTGGTCGTGTTCTTCGGGACTGAGTATGTGGTTCGGCTCTGGTCGGCGGGCTGCCGCAGCAAGTACGTGGGCATCTGGGGGCGGCTGCGTTTCGCCCGCAAGCCCATCTCCATCATCGGTGAGTCACGTCTGCCCATAGACAACCCAGCTGGAGCCCCTTCCCCACCTCAAGGACTGAGACACCCCACTATGCTGCCTGTCTGTACAAGCAGGGAGCCCAGTGGTGGGAGCCTGCTGGTGGTCCTGGACAGCCCAGTTACCAGGGTCCAGGCCTGAGATCTGTCTCACTCCCCAGGTGCCTATGAACTGGCAGGATCTAGGTGGCCCTGGTCCTGACCAGTGCCCATGCCACCTGACTTCCTGGCCTGCTCGGTGTCCTGTCCCCTCTCATCAGCTCCACCCCTCCTGACCAGTGAGCCCACACTCAGGACCCATGGGGGTCCTGACAGCTGGCTTCCTATGTGTCTGCAGATCTCATTGTAGTCGTGGCCTCCATGGTGGTGCTGTGTGTGGGCTCCAAAGGACAGGTGTTTGCCACCTCAGCCATCAGGTAGGCCTGAGTCCCTGCCTGGCCATGGGCAAGGAGGGTGGACCCACAGCTGAGCTCCCTGCCGCCCACATCTACCATGGTGGCCCCACACCCACACACCCTTGTATGTGCTCATCTTGGTTGGTGCCCACTGCCCCGGGGGAACTGAGCCACAGGCCCACAAGGCCACGTACTGGAACCTCTGGCTCTTGGGATGTGGGTGGTAACCTGGGCGTTGGGTGCATGGGCCTGCTTACCTGTAAACTGGGTGGCTCTGAGTCTCTCCAAGAAAGTAGTTTGGGACCCAAGGAGTGGGCACGTACAGCTAGTGGTACTTGGGCAGTGTGTGGGCTGAGGTGTGGCGGTGGGGAGCAGTGACCCCCCACTCAGGCTTGGGTGCTGGTGGCACGCGGACACGAGATGTTGCTGCCCCCCCCAGCCCTGCCGCGTCCCCTCCCCAGGGGCATCCGTTTCCTTCAGATCCTGCGAATGCTGCATGTGGACCGACAGGGAGGCACCTGGAGGCTGCTGGGCTCTGTGGTCTTCATCCACCGCCAGGTGGGTGGTCCAGGTGAAAGTGGGCCCAGGACCCTGCCCAGCACACCAGCTCGGGGGAGGGGGCAGGTGCGTTGACAGGGCCTGTGATCCCAGGACGAACCCCCAGCTCCGGCATGCCCACAGCCTGCCCATGTTTGTGAGCTGGGGACAGGCTCTGCTGGGCCCAGGAAAAAGCAGACAGCCTCCGTGGAGGTCCCCAGGGTTGAGCCACAGCGGGCTTGGGTTGTATCTACCCTGGACAACATGAGAGCAAGGGTTCCCTTTTCTCATCCTTGGGGGTCTCGGCAGCCCTGGGTTCTGTGCCACAAAAAGGGAGAGAGCCGTGTGCCCAAGGGAGCCCGCATAGGCTCAGAGGCATGGTCCTGTGGGGCCTGATCTCGGCATGCAAATCTCACTGGGGTTGGTGCAGATCATTCTGGAATTGGCCGGCTAGGGGTGGCGGGAGATGTTTCTGCAGACGCCCCTGGCTGGTCGCTGGCCGCGGACCTGGGCTCATTGCTGGCACTGCCCCAGCAGGAGCTGATCACGACTCTGTACATCGGCTTCCTGGGTCTCATCTTCTCCTCCTACTTCGTGTACCTGGCAGAGAAGGACGCGGTCAACGACTCCGGCCAGGTGGAGTTCGGCAGCTACGCAGACGCACTGTGGTGGGGGGTGGTAAGTCGCCTTCCTGGGCGGGGCCTGTGTGGATGGGATCGTGGGTGGGTGCGGCTTTGGGCCCGGAAGCCGTACAGAGGGGGCTTGTGGAGGCAGGGGCCATGGGCAGGGGGCCTTGGTGGGGGGAGCTGTGTGGGCCAGGGCAGAGGCCCAGGGGACAAGTTGGGGCTTTGCGCTCAAGATTTCAAGCCTCACTCATGGGACTCCTTGTCTGAAACTCAAAACGTGTGGATCCCATGGAGGCTGAGCGCGCAGGACCCCTGTGCAGTGCCGGACTGCTCTGGGGTCATCGCTTGCTCTGGGTTCATGGCCCTTATGCCTCGAGCTTGGGAGTCACCCCTAGGGCAGCGGGATCCGCTGTGTGGTGGGGGACTCGGCTCCAGACCTGCTAGCTGCAGGCCCCGTGTGAGCCAAGGGCCTGGATGTGCCGCGAGTGGGGGGAGAAGGTGCCTCCACACTCCTGTGGGGACATGGGGTGTTTGGGAGGCCCACCCTGGGGTCAGTGGAACTGGAGAGTGGCCCCCACCAGGTTACCTGGCCTCTAGGCTGTGGGCAGGCAGGAGTGGGCAGCCCTGGAATCCCCTTGGGTCTCAGTGGCTGAAGGGTGTCCATTTGGGGGCCAGCTGGGTGAGCTGACCTGGGGAGCAGTATGCTGCTGGAGTCCCCCAAGGGTTGTGGACAAGCCCAGGAGGCAGCAGGGACCAGAGAGGCCCACCGTGCCATGGACAGCCACCTAGCAGGCCCCGAGGGAGCCGAGAGGGCAGGGGGAGGGAGGGAGGACTCTGGGACTTGAAGGGATGGCACGCCGTGGTCAGCTGTGTCAGACTCCCACCCTGCCATGGTGAGTGCTGTCCGAGCTCCTGGGAGGGGGCGGGGAGCTGCCCCGTGCCCCCGTCACTCCTGGGTCCCCCCACGAGGCCAGGCACGCAGCAGGGCTTTGATGTTGGCTGAGTCAGCGTGTTTTCTGGAAGCTTCCGCCGTGCCTGCCGGCTCAGGGGAGGCGGGGACATGCTGACACAGCCCGAGTGAGGGCAGGGCCTGTGCAAGGCCTCTGGCCGCCTGCCTGGAGGCCCGGGTCCCTGAAGGCCCCAGGGCAGCAGGTCTAAGCCAGTCTGGGCATGAGGGGGACCCCAAGGACATAGAAGGGCCTGTGTGTGTGTGTGTGTGGTGGGGTGCGGGCAGCCTGTGCCCAGCGCCCAAAGACTGCCTTGGGGGCCAGGTGAGCCTGAGTGGCCACGAGGCGGCGGCAGGAAGCGCGTGGGTGACTGCTTGCAGCGTGCTGAGAGGTGGGGCCAGCCCTGGCACGGCCCGCTGGAGCTGCGGGCAGCAGACTGCTCCCGGCCCCCAGGCCCCGAGCCCGCGGCAGAACGGCACTCCCCTCACCACACCTGTGCAAACATCCGTCCGCTGGCCGGGAACACGGCCCCTTTGTGCCCGGCTTGGCACCGGTGCCCTGGCCCCTGCCATCAGCGGCAGCCTGGGCCTTGGTCACTGTGCACCCCCGCTCGGCCATTGTTCCCAGAGGTCTCTGCCCCAGCTGCCCTGGGGCCCCCTCGACTGAGGGGGGTGCTCAGGAGCAATGGCTCCTATGACTAGGGAGGCTACCCCGGGAGCTGCCTGCAGAGTGAGGTGTGGGCTGTGTTCCTGGAGCTTCTTGGACAAATGGGACCGGAGAAAAAGCAAGATGGGTCGGCCCAGCCAGGGCTGGGGTCAGCCTGCCTCTGACCGTGCCCCCTGGCCTGTCCTGGTTTGTGGGGTGGGGGGCTACCGAGTGGTCAGGGGGCCTGGAGCACCTCAGCTTCTCACAGCCGCTTGGTTGGGCCTTCTCCACGGCCCTGAGAACCTTGGGGCAAGGGGAGGGGCATGGGAGTGCCATGCCGGGGCCCCCCGGGGGTGTCCCCGCTTCGGGGCTGCCCAGGCGAGGGGGTGTGTGGCCCCTGCCCTGCCTGGCCAGCTGCCAGTGTCGGGTGCAGGCGAAGCAGGTGACAGCCCCGGGCTGCAGGCAGGCGGGTGGGCCCATTTCCTGTGTCTGCCCAGACCGAGGCCCGCACAGCCGGGGGCTCACAGGGCCTTCATTCATGGCAGCCGGGCTGCTTGTGGGGCGTCAGCCGGGGAGGCTCGGGGCGGGTCTGGCCTGATCCCCTTGGGCTCCTGGTGGTCCAGGAGGTTCCTTGGCTGCTGGCCGCGCCATCTCGTCTGGGCCTGCGCCCATCTGTGCCCTTACAGGCCACCAGGCATTGTGCTGGGAGCTGTCTGGGTGTCTTGGGCAGTCCTCGCTGCCGACTCATGGTCACCTCTCCAAAGGACTCCTTTCTTTCCCTGTGTCACTCAAAGATTTATTTATGTATCCGAAACTCAGAGAAAGAATGTCCTATTGACTTTCACTCCAATTGGCTACGGCGGCCAGGGCTGGGCTAGCCTGAAGCAAGGAGCCAGGGCGCTGGGCACAAGGGCCCCAGCACTTAGGCCATCCTGCCCGTGTTCCCAAGCCGACGGCAGAAGGTGGACCTGCAGCGGAGGAACCGTCTCTGTCTGGGGTGTAGACAAGGCTGCAGCAAGCAGCTCTCCAGGGGCCAGCGGGCGGCACTCAGCCTGTGTTGCCCAGGGCGGGGCAGGGCATTCCGAGGAAGCCTCACTCTGGCAAGGCTCAGTTTCCCCAGCTGGCCAGCGGGCACGCCGGCTCAGGGCCTGGGCTTCCCTCCGCCGGCCCCCAGCTTGGGTCCCCCGAGTGTGGCGCCCGGCCCGGCTGCCCAGACGGTGGGGGAGGACCCGAGGCTTTCTTCCCTCACTCTTAGAACAAAATGCATTTGTTTGTGTTAGTGTGAGGGCAGGCAAACACGGGCTGCTCTGTGGGGCGCCTGGGGGTCTCGGCCGGAGGCTGCCGGGCCGTTTACCCCTCCACACCTAAATTTAGAACGGAGGGTGGAGGAGCTGGTCTCCCAAGCCCTGGAATCTGACACTCCTCATTCCTCACCTGGCGGGTCCAGGAAGGCCCTGTCTCACAGGGAGGCGGTGCTGCCGCAGCCTCCCTTGAGCCCCTTGGAGCTGCAGCCCCCACGCAGGGCCTCCAGGAAGCTGGGGAGGCCCAGGCTGCCGGCCCCGCAGGAGGCATGAGGGTTCCACCGGGTGGGACCCTCGGGTCGGCACCACCCGGAGGACCCCTGGCTGGGGAGACAGGAAGCTGGGAAAGCAGGAAGTGGGCATCGGGAGCTTGGGGGACTGGATGAGGGTACAACACATCCATCCACAGCGCCTGCCAGCTGTGTGGCCCTGGGCACGGTCCCTGACATCTCGGGGTTGAGGTGGGGAGACACGGCAGCCTGGGTCTCCAGGCACGGCTGGAGCTGGGGCTCTGGAGCAGCCCTGGCCTCCCGTGGAGCTCAGCCTGGCTATTGTGAGGGGACCAGCACCAGCGTGAACCCCAGTGCCCCCACACGGGGCAGGCAGCGCTGCTCCAGGAAAGGACCACTCCTGAGCTGCTGGAGTCTGTGGATCCAGGGAGGGAGACAGCCCTGTGGGCCGGGGGCCACAGCCTCGGAGGGGCTGCACCCCAGGAGGGCGCCCTGGCCTGTGTGGGGAGCAGCCCCTCGCCAGCCTGCTGAAGCCTGGTAAAGCCTGGTGAAGCCCACTGTAGCCTGCTGATGCCCACTGTAGCCTGGTGAAGCCTGCTGAAGCCCACTGTAGCCCGCTGAAGCTCACTGTAGCCCACTGTAGCCCGCTGAAGCCCTCTGTAGCCCACTGAAGCCCGCTGAAGCCCACTGTAGCCCGCTGAAGCTCACTGTAGCCCACTGTAGCCCGCTGAAGCCCTCTGTAGCCCACTGAAGCCCGCTGTAGTTCACTGAAGCCCACTGTAGCCCACTGTAGCTCACTGTAGCCCACTGAAGCCCGCTGTAGCTCACTGTAGCCCGCTGAAGCCCTCTGTAGCCCACTGAAGCCCTCTGTAGCCCGCTGAAGCCCACTGCAGCCCGCTGAAGCTCACTGTAGCCCACTGAAGCCCACTGTAGCCCACTGAAGCCCACTGTAGCCCACTGTCCCTCCTTTCACCACTTTTTGCCTTCCCAGTCAGGGGAGGGGGAGGGGGAAGGGAGGGCATCATCTCAGAAGATGTAAAAACAAAGTAATGTGAGCAATGTGTACGTTTTCTGAGTAACCTGATGTTCCTGAGCAGCCTGGGTGGGGGTTCTGGCTCCTGCCCTGACCCAGCCTGACCCAGCTTGACAGGCACGTGGGAAATGTGAACCAGCAGATGGAAGATAGCTCTCTCCCTCCCTCCTCCCTCCCTCCCTCTCTCCCTCTCTCTCCCTGTCTCTATGATGTTAGCTAACATACCAGTGCACGTTGTCTGAGCTAGGGGTTAGTGGGGGCCCCCAAGCACTACCCCCGGCCCAGGGAACTCGGCACGCCCCCACACCTGTGTCAGGCCTGGCCCTGGCTCTGAGGGAGGCCAGGCTGTCAGGCCGCAGTGACCGTCCTTGCCGCTGCCAGGGCTCAGTGTGGGGCGTCAGCCCTGCTTTCTGTCAAGGTCTATTACTATTTTAAAAGCTTCTGTATTTGTTAAAATAATAGTAGACCCAATATATTGATGTGGAAAGTAGTTTGATTAAAAATTACAGTATTTTCCAAAATACGAGCATGGCACTGATGGGCAGAGAAAGTCTATTACCATGAACTGGCAAGATGCGGTTCAGGCACGGGGCTGCCCCCACACCTCCCTAGACTTTGCATGGCATAGAATGCAGGGGAGCAGGGGAGCTCTCCATATTAGGGGACCAACCCCATGCTGCCTCCACCGCCAGGGATCTCAGGAACCCCCAGGACCCCGGCAGGCATCTCTTGGTGTCCTCCCCAGCAGGCTCGGGAGAGGTTTCGGGCACGGTGTGTGGGCTGCTGTCTTTGCTCTGGCCGCTCTTAGCATGCCAGGCCTTGGGTGGGGGCAGTGCCCCATAGACGCCAATAGGGGCATGCATCCTGCCATCTGCCTTGCCTGTGGCCCCTGGGAGCGTGCGGCTCATGTGGAGACAAGGGCGTTCCAGTGTTTGTGCATGTGCCACCTTAGTGTGTGAGGCCGCCGTGTGACTCAGGAAGTGCAGGTGTGCAGTTCTCTGTCTGCCTAAGATGTGTGAGTGTGCACCCCACGCAGCCAGGCAGCGCCCTGGAGGGCCTGGTGATAGGCGGCTTCCACTACGTGTGTGTGTGTTGGGGGGTGGGGACAGGTAGCTTGGGAACAGTGACACCGCAGGGAAAGGTTCCATGTGGCCAGGTCCCAAAAACACCAGTCCCCCAGTGTGCCTGGACCGCCGGCTAGGCCTGCCTGGGCCCGCCTGAGGTAGCTGTCTGATGGCTCCCCAGGGTGGCGTGCCCATGGCAGGGTGGCCAGGAGAGAGAGGCAGGCTCCAGCCAGGGTGGCCCTAGCCCGGGACGCCTGTGTCCGGGGGTGCCTGGAGAGCCCCCAAGGTGGCCCGCCTGGCACTGCCCGGGTGGGCAGGATGTCGAGCTTGGGCCCAGCTGGTGCGGGGGTGGCCCCGCGCTCTCGGGTCCCCGTGATGTCCCGGACAGAAGGCTCCCCTGCTGAGAAGGCTGGAGCTGCAGCTTGTCCCTGCCAAGCAGAGGGAAAGCAAAACATCTGGATCGCTGGGTGGCGGAGGAAGTGGCGCGTCATCTCGGCCGTTCTCTGCGGACTCGGTCTCCCGGGGGCTGGCCCGCAACGACGCCGGTGGCCGTGGCTCCCCAGGAGCCGGAGGCCTGGCTTACAGACCGTGTGCCCTGGTGCCTGGGTAACAAGCTGCTCCAGCCTGCCCGAGGGCTGTGTCTTGCCTATGGTGGAAGCACAGCTATTGTGGCCGTCCCGGTTTTCGGGGTCCGCTGCTGGAGTGGCTGGCACGAGTGTGGCTGGAGCACTGTTGGAAGGACCTGACCACGCCCCTCTCTGTCACAGGTCACCGTCACCACCATTGGCTACGGGGACAAGGTGCCCCAGACGTGGGTTGGCAAGACCATCGCCTCCTGCTTCTCCGTCTTTGCAATCTCCTTCTTCGCACTGCCAGCGGTAGGTGACAGGGGAGCGGGGGCTGTGTCCCCTCTCACCACCCCGACTGGTGGCTGGGCCCAGCAGCGGGTCCCTCCACAAGAGCACATGCAAGATCACCCACATTCCAGAAGGGCCTACATGGACCTGGGCGCCACTGCCAATCCCAGGCTCTGGACAAGCAGGCAGGAGGCGCATGGCATGGGGTGCAGGACTGTTATGGGTCCCAAGATGGGAAGCCCCTCAAAGCAGCTGCCATCATCGGGGGCACAGTGATCCCGGAACAACCTGGGAGCGCTTTGTGCCGGGTCCAGAATGGAAACATGGCCTGTGAGATGGGCGTTTCCTGCTCACTATGTGTGTTTGCCAGAGTCACATGCTCACGTGTACAAGGAATCTTGCAGCATTTCAGAGACTGTGTGCTGCCTTATTGGCTCTTGGCACCTGCCCTGCGTGGCGCGCCCCTGGGGGCAGCATGACCGGTGGCCTGTGGGGACGTGACCCTGGCTGGTGGCCTGTGGGGATGTTGCGCCCTGCTGTGACCCTGGCTAGTGGCCCGTGGAGATGTTGCACCCTGCTGTGGCTCTGACCGCTGGTCCATGGGGAGGTGGCCCTGGCTGGTGGCCTGTGGGGACGTTGCACCCTGCTGTGGTCCTGCTGGTGGCCCGTGGGGACACTGCACCCTGCTGTGGCCCTGGCTGGTGGCCTGTGGGGACGTTGCACCCTGCTGTGGCCCTGCTGGTGACCTGTGGGGACACTGCACCCTGCTGTGGCCCTGCTGGTGGCCTGTGGGGACGTTGCACCCTGCTGTGGCCCTGCTGGTGGCCTGTGGGGATGTGGTGCCCTGCTGTGGCCCTGCTGGTGGCCTGTGGGGATGTGGTGCCCTGCTGTGGCCCTGCTGGTGACCTGTGGGGATGTGGCACCCTGCTGTGGCTCTGCTGGTGGCCTGTGGGGGCGTTGCACCCTGCTGTGGCCCTGCTGGTGGCCTGTGGGGATGTGGTGCCCTGCTGTGGCCCTGCTGGTGGCCTGTGGGGATGTGGTGCCCTGCTGTGGCCCTGCTGGTGGCCTGTGGGGATGTGGTGCCCTGCTGTGCCCTGCTGGTGGCCTGTGGGGATGTGGTGCCCTGCTGTGGCCCTGCTGGTGGCCTGTGGGGATGTGGTGCCCTGCTGTGGCCCTGCTGGTGACCTGTGGGGACGTTGCACCCTGCTGTGGCCCTGCTGGTGGCCTGTGGGGATGTGGTGCCCTGCTGAGGCCCTGCTGGTGGCCTGTGGGGGCGTTGCACCCTGCTGAGGCCCTGCTGGTGGCCTGTGGGGGCGTTGCACCCTGCTGTGGCCCTGCTGGTGGCCTGTGGGGGCGTTGCACCCTGCTGTGGCCCTGCTGGTGGCCTGTGGGGGCGTTGCACCCTGCTGTGGCCCTGCTGGTGGCCTGTGGGGGCGTTGCACCCTGCTGTGGCCCTGCTGGTGGCCCGTGGGGATGTGGTGCCCTGCTGAGGCCCAGGCCAGTAGCCCATGCGGACGCAGTCTTGTGTACTCTCTCCAGGGCATCCTTGGCTCCGGGTTTGCCCTCAAGGTCCAGCAGAAGCAGAGGCAGAAGCACTTCAACCGGCAGATCCCAGCAGCCGCCTCGCTCATCCAGGTGATGCCCGCTGCCCACCAGCTGGTTGGGTCAGCTCCCGTCCACCCTGCCACCAGGCTGCCCCGGCCCTGCTAGTGGGTGGGAGCCACAGCCACGGTCACATCTACAGGTGGCCCTGAGATGCCCGGGCTTCCCCAAAAGCCATATAGTTGAGCCTCCAGGCAGCCCAGTTCTCAGGCTTGGTGCTGTCTGCTGAGCAGTAGCCAGACACGGCCCCCTTCCCTCACATCCCAGGCTCACAGCCAGGTGGGTGGTGCTGTCCCTGGGGTCTCTGCCGCTGACCCCACATAGGCCCAGTCAGACCCAACTGAGGTCACGCTGCAGAGTCCCCAGCCCTGTACCCGGGGAGGGCCTCGGGTGAGAGCTGGGGGCCATGGGAGCCATGAGGTCACCCTGCAGCGTTCCCAGCCCTGTCATGACCAAGAGTCTGGGAGCTGGGCTGGAGGGGGCTGGCAAGGGTTCCCTGGTAACCGCCCACCCTCTGTCTGGTTGAAGACGGCGTGGAGGTGCTATGCCACTGAGAACCCCGACTCGGCCACCTGGAAGATCTACGTGAGGAAGTCTTCCCGGGGCCACACTCTGCTCTCTCCCAGCCCCAAGCCCAAGAAGTCCGTCATGGTAACCACTCCTGAATCCCTGGGAGGGCAAGCGAACAGGGCTGAGGCCGTGGCAGAGTTCACTCGGGTGCCAGTGACATTCCAGGGGCCAGGGCTGTGTGCACTCATCCCCTGCCATCCTGGTGTGCCCAGGTGTGTGGTTATGTGGTGCTACTGGTCATGGCAGGCTCTGTTTAGGTAGGAGTGGGCATCTGCTGGGTCGTGGATGGGGTGGCCCTGGAGAAGCTGCGGTGCTGGGCTGGGCAGCTGATGGGAGCTGCCACAGGCTCAGCTCAGGGCTGTAGAGCACGGAATGGGACAGCTGCCAGGTGCCCAGCGGGCCTCAGCGGCTGCAATGGGGAGGACAAGTGAAGTGCTGGGTGCACCCTGGCCTTTCCCTAGATCTGCTGCCACTGCAGCCTCTCCCAACCTAGCCCCGGCTTCTGATCCTCTGCTGTGCGCTGTCCTCACTGCTACCTGCCTGTGGTGGTGGTGCTGGGCTTCAGCTCCTTTGTGGAGTCCCCGCAGGCCCCAACACAGTGGGAGCAGCACTGACACACTGCCTGCTATGCCCAGGGCCCAAGGAAGGCCTGGAGAGATGGCCTGAGCTGCCAGCCTGCTGCCCGCAGGTCCAGGAAGGGCCCGAGGGAAGTGTCCAGCCCCTTCATCGCCCATCTCACAATGGCCAAGACAAGGTGAAGCCAGACCAAGCTGGGCGCTGACAGCTCAGGCCAGGTGGCCCCTGGCCTGGCAGGCACCCAGCTCCTGGCGCACCACCTGCGGCCCCCTGGGGTCTGTGTTTGCTAAGAGCTGGCCTTGGGCCAGCCGGGAGCTCGGTGCAGGTAGCTGCGCATGGGACACGGCTATCCCCACTGCTGGGCTGAGTGTGTGTCCCTGCTTGCTGGGGTTTCTAGGTCAAGAAGAAGAAGTTCAAGTTGGACAAGGATAATGGGGTGAGTCCTGGCGAGAGGACGATGCCGGTCCCCCACATCACGTGTGAGCCCCCCGAGGAGCGCAGACCTGACCACTTCTCCACCGACAGCTACGACAGCTCTGGTGAGAGGTCTGGGGGGCACTGACTGGGCCGGGGTATCTCCCAGCGCACAGCCACAGCCTTCCAGGGAGCCTGAGTGAGCTGACGGGTCTCGGCCCTGAGGCTCATGGGCCCTAGTGGCCTCCTGTCTGAGTTGGGGTGACATCAGGGCCTTGTCCCCTGCCTGGGAGACTCCAAAGTCTGCAGTGTTGGCCCAGGGCACGTGGCTCAGTTCCGGTGCTCACTTTGTGCCACCTCTTCTCAGAGGCCAGACAAGACACACTCCCACTGTGCCCCTGGTTTATGGCTGTGCCTTGGTGCCTGGCACCTGGAGATTCCCCCTGTCTGCGTCTGGGGGTGGTGCTGGCAGTGGAGGACAGCCCACACTTCAGCAGCCATGCTGTCCAGGGACCCCTGCTGGAAGCAGGGCCACACCGTCACAGCTCATGTCCTGTGCCTGCCAGGCGCAGGCAGGCCACTCCTGCAGGTCGTGTCAGAGGGTCAGACCAGAGGCTGGATCCTGGGGCTGGCTCCAGAAAAGGCCGAGGGTGTGCCCCAGACCCCTTCAGAAGCCCTGCTGGCCGTGGCACCTGGCTCACATGGCCACAGTGGAGCTAAAGAGGGGCCGCTGCCCCCAAGGGTGTGCCCAGCGCTTGCTCTGCCCCCTCCCCACTGGCAAGGCACTGAGACCTCTCCCATGTCTTCTGTGGCCAAAAAGTGGCTCATGAATGGGCTATCCTTGGGCAGGCGGCCAGGGACTGCCCCTGCCCTCCAGGTGACCTTCCGGAAGCCTCCACCAGGTGCACAGCCACCTCCTCTTTGCCCATGTCCTGCAAATGCCCTGTCCTTACTCATACCTGGACTTTCCACCCAGTACTCATCCTGATGGGCCCTCTGTGCCCCTCTTGACACCCAGTGCCAAGTGGCCATGCCCCCTGTGAGGCCCAAGGAAGGAGGAGTGGTGACGTGAGCACAGCTGCCCAGGGTCTTCCCCTGGGTCTGTGGTGAGGTGACCCCTGCTGGCCTTTGAGCTGCCTGGCTGCAAGCCTGCCTTTCCTTGGGACACACTCGCCACCACGTGCAGGGATGGCTGAAGGCAGCTTGGGTTTTTGTCCGGACAACACACCAATGTGTTGTCATTTCTGACCTGTGTTAGGCCTGGGATGCTGAAGTGGCCTCACTGACTCCTCTGTCGGAGACCAGGGCAGAGCGTCCTGAAGCCAGGGCTGTCTGGGGAAGCAGCATGCATCAGAACCTGGCAGGTGGATCCTGCCTGGGTCACATGGTCATCCAAAAGGCCAAAACAGTCAGGAATAACACACAGGGAAGCAAACCCATGGTTAGAGGCGTGGGGTGCCCCTCCAGCGTGGATGGAGCTGGTCGCATGCTGGAAGGCTGCTTAGGGGGCACCCCTGCACGCACAGGGTGGCCCAGGACACTCTGGTGGGCTTGCTCGGCAGGCTGCAGCATGCCCTCATCCCTCACAGAGGGGCTTAGGGGATGGCAGCACCCCCTCTGACCACAGAGAATGGGGGTCAGAGTCAGATGGCCGAAGGAACCTGTGCCTGGTGCTCAAACACACAGGGCCACCATATGTGCAGGGCTGTAGGCACAGCCCACCCAGCAGGTCTTAGGAGAGGTGGGCCGCCTCTGCTCCCGGTGAGGAGCCGTGGGCCAGGGAAACAGGGGCACGGCTGGGAAGGGAAAACCTAAAAACAAGTGAAAAAGGATTCATAGGGCCTGGCACAACAGCCCTGTGGACAAATCCTTACCGTATAAGCACCAGAATCCCATACGGGTGCTGGTTAGTTTCCAGACTACTCCACTTCCCATCCAGCTCCCTGCTTGTGGCCTGGGAAAGCAGTCGGGGGCAGCCCAAAGCCTTGGGCCCCTGCACCCACATGGGAGACCTGGAGGAAGCTCCTGGCTTCAGATCGGCTCAGCTCTGGCCGTTACGGCCATTGGGAGTGAGCCAGAGAATGGAACGTCTTTCTGTCTCTCCTCCTCTCTGTATTTCCACTTTTCCAATAAAAATAAATAACTTCTTAAAAAAACTTTTAAATTACTTGTGATTATAGCATAAAGCATATTTGACTTTACAAAATAAAATGAAAAGCCAGAAAGCGATGTTTTCACATGAAGAAAGCGCTCCTGGACATACGTGAGGCACCACGCCAGGAGCCGCGGGAGGCCCCAGCATGGGCTGCAGACACCACCGTGGCCACCAAGTCTTCCGGAGTGTTCCACCGCACTCCCGATGATTACATCCAATGACTCCAATGAAACTGCCACACATCTTGGGAGAGCTGAGCTGCATGAGGCGTGGCTGGTCCAGCAGCTGGCTGCCTGCAGTCCAGGCTGTGTTATAAGGAGTAATGCGGAAAGTAGAGCAAACTGGAGCCTGGCGAAGCAGGAAGAGCAGCCCCCAAGCACGAGGCCGTCACCATGCTGGGATGGCAACGTGGACAGTGCTCGAGGAAGCTTTCCCAGGACACTAGCAGGGAGCAGCCGGGATGCTGGCATCGTAGGTGGAGTATCCGCCTGGCATTTCCCATGGTGCTGCCCACCCCTGTTCTCCTGGTGAAAAGGAATGCTTGGGATTCAGGAATGCAGCAGCTCTTTGATGTTGAAAAGTCCACCGGTCTACGTACTGTGCTAGCAACTGACAAGGCCACGTCGTTGTCCCGTGTGACTCAGGAGAGTGACACAAGGCAACAGCCACTCGCTCTAAACTCCCTCAGTGATGGAAAGTAGGAGCTGCATGACGACTGTATGATGTGGGCTCAGCCACTGCCTGCAACTCCAGCAGCCAAAATGGCGCCAGCTCAAGTTTCCGCTGCTGCATGTGCCCAGAAGAGCAGCAGGGGTTGCCCGAGAGTGTGGCTCCTGTACCACGTGGGAGACGCAGAGCTTCGGCCTGGCTCAGCCCTGGCTGCTGAGCCGTTTGGGGAGTGAGCCAGTGGACGGATGGAAGGTCAACCCCCCGACTGACACAGATGATGGACAGTTAAGTGCTGCAAGACATGAACTGGGAAGTCCTTGGCAGTCGAGTAAGATGAGACCAGACTGGGAGAGAAGAAACCGACCTTGTGTCTACCAGTGGGCAGCCTGATTGCTTACACCTGCTGCAGGTGCAGGCTGTGCTGATCGCTGGTAGAGGCTGTCAGACACGGGACGCGATGAGGGGATATCCATGTCGGGAACTGCAGCGGGCGCCCAGCGCGGCAGACAGAGCTCGTCTCGACGTCTGGTCTCCTGGCTGCCCAGAGCCCAGCCTGTGATTGGCCTGGGGCACCCCAGACAGCTTGAAAGAAGGCTCCCAGCCCAGATGCAACCTCAGCATGAAGACAGGAAGGGGCAAACCGGAAATGGGGGCAGGACACTTGTGGGTCATCCAGTAGAGGACATGTGTCTGTCCAGAACACATGGGGGATACTGAAACCTGGGGAGGGAGGACAAGCCACGGAATGTCGGATGGTCTCAGCAGATGTTCTGCAGGATGGGCGCCGTGTGTCCAGACCACGTGTGACACCACAGTACCGTCACCGTGTTGTCCACCCTGAATGAAGGGTGGTTGTCATGCCACCTGCTAGGGCTGTGGCTCCAAGCAGTGTGTGTCCCGTCAGCCACAGGGGAGACCTGAGCTGAGGTGCTGGGGGAACGAACCAGGGAACAGGAGACCTCTCTGCGTGTGTCAGCCTGCCTTTCAAATAAGTCAGTGAGCAACTGTTTTCAAGAGATTCCACGCCACACCCACGGGGCTCAGGCAGCCTGGTGCTGGGACCTGGGATGGCTGTGGGGCGAAGCAAGACAGAATGAGGCTGGATGACCATCTGGGCCTGATCTGTGTTTTATAGGGCATCGTTAATCTCTTCCTAGTCTGTTCCATGATAATTTGTTCTGAATCAGTTTATTTATCGCTATTGAATGCTCTCCAGGGTTTCAGCTGTGGGGCCACTCGGTAGCCAAGGGGCAGCGTGCTGGCCTTGTCTCCTGTTGCTCAGGTTTTGTAATCTGGCTCTGTTCCCCTAAAGCAGGTCCTGATGGGACGTGTCTGTTCTGTTGTATTTCTTGTACATTTACTGTCAGAAGATCATCTCTGCTTTCTGTTCCATCAGTTTAGACATTTTATATCTATTATTTCCCTCTCCTGAGTCACTTTATTTTGTTTTCTTTTTTACATAATTAAGAGTAATTACTTATTTATCTAAAATCTTCCTACTGAAAGGCATAAATTTTCCTCTGATTGTAGCTTTAGCTGTGACACATACATCTGAGGGTGAAATATGTTCTTTTTCATTTTTTCTTGAGTTTTTTCTCTTTCAGAGTGCTTTAAAGAAATGTTTTGTTAGTTTTAAGCAGTAAATTTTTATCACTGTTATTTATTTCAAATTTAATAGACTTACAGTGAAGGATGTAGCTTACAACATCTTCATTCTTTTACATGAAGATATTATCTGTGCCCACATACTGAAAAAAACTTAAATTCATTATCAAAGTTCCAAGACCAAGCGCATAATATATGTTCTCCCTAGGCTGGTTATACACAGGACGTGAGCTCTGCTCGCCTGTGGACACACAGGGCTGGTCACACACACACAGGACGTGAGCTCTGCTCGCCTGTGGACACACAGGGCTGGTTGCACTCAGGGATGTCTGCTTTGTTCGAGTGTAAACACACAGGGCCAGCTGTCTGCTCTCATGGGCACTCAAACACTCTTGAGCTGTTCATCCTTCTTCATTCTCAGCTACATGCCTGCCAACCCTGAGTCGGGGAAAGCAGATCTTTTTTCACGTCGCTGGAAGTCAAGGGCCCATTCATGGCACGGTTTGGAGGTGAGCTTGTTAGCAGCCTGCATGGGGGCATTCACTCCTGTGTGATCCTCGGCCTCATCTTCCACTCCTGTGTGAGCACACTTCTGTGGAGCTCAGTGTCTTCCACCAGCCAGTCCCAGATGCCAGCCACTCCTCCGCTGGGCTTTCTGCGTTGCCTTCTCACCGCAGCGTGTCTAGGAGACGCATT